GAAATCAGACTTTTGCTGGGTGTGGTGGTGCATGCCTCTAATCCCAGCACTTTGGAGGCTGAGGCAAGAGTTCCTGGGCTACATAGTGAGGTCAGGGCCAGCCTGAACCACATGGTGATACCCTTTCTAAAAACAAACCAAAAAAAGAAAGAAATTAGACCTTTCATAAACTGCTAGGGGAATATAAAATGCTGTAACCTCTGTGGAAACAGTTTGGAGGTTCCTCAAAAAGTTAAGACACAGAATTACCATATGACTCAGCAATTCCATTCCTAGGGGATATACCAAAGAGAAGTGAAAACATAAAGCTGCCCAAAATTTATACACAAACATTCACAGCAGCATTATTCACAATAACCAAAAAGTAGAAACAACACAAATGCCCATTTAAAAGAAAAAGAAGTGTGGGCTTGGCCTGGTGGTTCACATCTGTATTCCCAGCATTCAGGAGCTGAAGGAGGAATATCTCCCCAGGTTTGAAGCCAGCGTAAACACAGTGAGAACCTGTCTCAAAAAACAAAACAATTCAAAGAAAAAGTGGTATAACCATACATTCCAGGTGCCACACATCTGTAGCCTCAGCACTCTGGAAGGTTGAGACAGGAAGTTAACAAATTTGAGCCCCACCTGGGCAATTTACCAAGACTGACTCAAAATAAAAAATTTTTTAAAGGCTGGGGATGTAGCTCAGTGCAAAGGCCCAATACATGCAGTAAGTATGAATGAACTATGAAAACATGCTAAATTAAAGAAACCAGACACAAAAGGCCACATGTTATATGGTTCCACTTACACATGAAATGTCTACAATAGGCAAACCCACAGAGATAGAAAATAGGTATTAGCAATTAGGCTAGAGGGTAACTGAACGGGAACGAGGAATGAATGCTAATGGGTCTGGGGTTTTGTTCTGGGGGAGGGGAAAATGTTCTGGAAATAAATACTCCTAATAGTTGTACAGCTATGTGAACACACTAAAAACCACTGAATTGTATACTTTAAAAGAGTGAATTGTAGCAGGGGTGTAGAGGTGAGAGCCTGTGAGCCTAGCACTCCGGGATGTTTGAGACATTAAAAAATAAAAAGGCTGTCCCCGGTATGAAATAAAATAAAATAAAATAAAATAAAAAGGCTGCAGGGCTGGGAATTTAGCTCAGTGGCACCATGCCTGCCTTGCAAGAGCAATGTCCTAAGTTTGATTCCTGGTACTGCAAAAATTAAATAAAAATAAATAAATAAACAAACAAACAAACATGAGT